ACATCGGTTTACTGGGAAATGAGCAGGCTGATCGAGCGGCAAAGTATGCTGCTTTTGCTCGTCTAATTATGGGTGATGTCATGGAAAAGTTGGATCTTCAAAGATACATTGGAAGAAAAGTTAAAGAGAAAATTGCAGAAGGAAATTTACAATACCATTATCAACACTACTCTTGCATTAACCCTCAATTAACTCCACCTTTATATCCAACAAACGTTGAGAAAACCAAGATCCAAACATTTTCGAGAATTCGCCTTGGTCATACAATTGCAACTCACCAATGGATCCTGAAGAAGTCTTCTCCCCCAATCTGCTGTTGTGGACAAACTCTTACTATAAAGCACATTCTCTGCGATTGCCTCAACTTTTCCTCGGCTAGAAGTATTGCATTTGGAACGATTAACCCTTTGAACATTCTACAATCAGCTTCAGAACAGAATATCAATTCAATATATTACTTTTTTAATACTACTAAGTTCACTATCTAATATCCATTTATTTAAATTAGAGCCGATAGCCTGTGTTGCTAGTGCTCAATGTCTTTTTTTTAGTCTAAGAATTCATTTCATTAGTCTAAAATTAAAATAATAATAATAATAATAAGTTATTGATTTATTCCAATAAATCACAAATGCTAAGTTGACCTTGAAATTAACCTTGAAACCAACTATAATCATGTTATTGATGAAATAAGTGCAGTTTTATAAAAAAAAATTGAAGTGCCAGACGTGAACTTTTATAAAAATTCAGCAACAGCACCTCGCCATTTTTAGACTTAATCTTAGTGCGGTGAGCTACTATATCTGTTTCGAAGTTTCAACTTTCATTTTTTAGTTCCAATTGTATTTCCAAAAAATTTTTCTAACTTTGAGTAAGTTCGTCTGTACATTTGGCCGTCTTGTTTTGTTTTGTCGTAGCTACATCCTGGAATTTTCGATATATATCGATAAAATTTGTTATAATGACGTATTTGGCCCAAGGAAAACCATTATATGAATTCGTGTAGGGCGGTATACGGTTTTTAATTGTGCACCGTTACCTACTGTACTGGTTGTAATTTATTTTGAATTAATTATTGACACCAAAAAAATAATTATCTTTAAATTTGCGGGCAGCCATGATGTCAAAATGAACCTTAAAGTTAAACCTTAGTTTTATTCCAGAAAGGTTACATTAAGACGAATTATTTACGGACTCTGCAATATTAGGATAGAAAGGAGAATGAGTTGTAATCCGTTTAACATCGTATTAAATCGCGATTCTTAAGCAAATTAATTTTAATAAAGCAATTGAGAATGCTATTATCGGGTAAGGTTGACCATTAGACGGCCTACACCACTTCCCCTAATACAGCCATTGACTCAGTTTCTTAATAATACACCAAACTTTATAAATTATTTTTATGTAAATGCATAATTGTTATAAAAGCTCTCATATAGGAGGATGCTCAAAACATTAAATAAGATGATCCAACTTCGGCAAAATTACTGTGCTTATGAAAAATTTTACTATTTTGCGCTTGCTTCCGCCATAACAAGCCAAAAAATTGATTCGAGCCCTTATATAGTGTGTGACCAAAAAATATACCTATGTCATCCACAATGGTTATGAAACGTAAAACTTTAAACCTTCTTGACTTGTTAAGGCTTATTTGGTATTGATGGTGGTCAATATTGTGTGGGATACATAAAATATGTGGTCCAAAATCGGATAGATTAATTTTTATATCAAATTATTATTGTGAACGAATTTTCATCAAGAAGTATTGAAGACTAGTGCTTTTTCCCATATAGAGAGCCAGATGGTATACGGCATGGCGAGCAAGATATTCGCTCCCCAATCAGAAGTTTTCGAACCCATTTAGGATGCCGAATTACTTTTACTAAGTGATTTTCGTTGCGAAATTCTAAAAACTACATTATTTTTTTACATAACGAGTTTTTAAAATAAGGCGTTGGTTGAAAAAAATTAAAACAATGTCCGATGAGTTTCGCTATTTACAGCATTTAGTTTTTCCCCAAACATATGAAAGACCAACCTGTCGCGTAGCTTACGGTTCTTCACCTCCGGGTTCGCATTTACCCGTCCATATTGTGTTCAAATAATACCAACATTTCTGTCACGAGAAAACTAATAAATCGAGCACTACTCCTATTAGTAAAGTAAGGAATTCTCCTCTAGATAGTTAGATTTAGTCCAAATCTCAAAAAAATATAAGCAAAAATTCCCCACTCTCCTAGCTTTTCCGATGTATTTGCAGAGCACCATTGGACATAAGGAAGCAAAGTCACTGCCCCTTTTTTTTCATCACAAATTTCTCTACCTCTCACTCTGCTCTCTGTAATGATCTTAGTACGCGTCTTGTCTCTTTGGCAGCAGTACTGCCGTAGAACTCAATATTTCTATCGGTACCGGGCATCTTATACGATAATAAATATCAAATTCCACTTTCTCAAATACATAAGATGAATTTATTAAAGCCGATATTTTATTGCTACATTCTTATCTTTCACACACTATGCTCGATATTTTTTTTGGAAATATTGAAATTCTAGTGCACTCGTTATATAATGTATTAAACCTACCCATTTCTGCATCCCTTCCGAAGGAACATCCGCTCCTTCAAAACGCTTGCCTGCTGTAATTCAACAAAGTATTTAAATTCTATATAACAGAAGCAGCAAAGGTTTCAAATATATATGAAAACTGGCTACTCTTACGATTATTTCGTCTCTTCTCCAGCAAGGCGTGGACTTAATTACCTCAACCACCAAAGTTATTGCAGACATCTTCAGTTACTAAAACATAAATTCTTGTTAATGCTAAACTTTCTATAAATTTGTTAATTCTAAAAGAAGAATCTCCATTTATATCTCCTATATATCTATTAACGGCTCCGACTCTAATGATGATATTGAAACCCCACGTGTCTTCGTTGAATACTTCCCAAGAAATTTTTCTATTGTGTGATTCCGATTTAGCTTATCCATACCAGTACTTAAAAATGCCTTCATTTTGTGGTGTCTTCCCCACGGGTGCTATGCAGATTCAAATGAACCAAATGACTGAAAAGGCTACTTCGAACCGTTTTTATATAGCAGTTTCATTGCTTGCAGGTAAAACAAAAGTAGTTGTTGGTAGCGTATTGTGACTGGCGATGGAAAGTGGATCTACTGCGACAGTCCTAAGCGCAAGTAGTCATAAGTTTGTCCAGGAAAGCCATCCACTTCGACACCGAAGCGGAATATACACAGCCTTAACGTTTTGCTTTGCACATAATGGGATCAGCAAGCTGTAATCGGTTAGGAGTTCCTAAATTCAATTACAACTGTCACTGAAAATGTCTGTTGTGGTTAATTTAACAAACTAAACGAAGTATTATTGAAAAAAATCCCACAATAGCGGCTAACATTACTACCAAACGTGTTGCAAGAGCTTTGAATGATACATTGTTGCAGCTCGAATGGGAATTTCTGCAACAACTACCTTCCTTATCAGACATGGCGCCTCCGGTTTACCACTTGTTCAGGCTGGCACGTGGTTTCGCAAAGTTAAGGAGTGAAATGGATCGTTGATTGGATCGCTTCCAAGCCAATATAAGTTCTTTTGACGCGGTATCGACACGTTGTCAGAAAGGTTGGAAAAAGTTGTAGAAAATGGTGGAAAATAATTCGATTAAATTACGTAGTATCAATTTTTCCCAATAAATTACCTTTTCAAGTGAAGAAGTGACTAAAATGGACGCAAACACTTAACATACTAAATAGCTCGCACATTAACGAGTCTTTGCTTTTGCTAATCGATCGTTGATGTTATGTCAAACGAACAAAGTTATACACATTTCACATACTAATACTATTGTATAGCGTATTTATTCTTTTCAAGTGCCCCCACGCCAAGATTAACTTAGTATACAATAATACGCAGTGCGAAAACCAAAGAAGCACCCCAGTGAAAACGTACAAAAGGCCAGCCCAAGTATTGATCGTTCTGTATTCGCGCCTCAGCGGTCACCAAGGTAAGTACAAAATAAAACTCGGTTTTTTTTAGTAGTACGACGTAGGACAAATTTATCTTTTATGAAAGAAAATACTGGGTGACAGAGACTATTAATCCTCCATCTGTAGAACTCTCTTCGTTAAGTTTGAAGCACTTGAGCTATGCCTAAGGGAGGAACAACACTGGCAGGGACTAATATTACATCACTTTGGGTTCCTTCTTGAATATACTAGATCTTCCTTAATATAATATAATAAATCCTGTTCAAGAGGAAGGGAGACTGTTAGACCATCACGCACAGGATTGTCTTGAACTGGAACTTAGCTGTGTCTGAAGCACATGGCGGCAGGCACTATGCTTGTTTCTTCTCTCTCCTTTTTCCCAGTAAATTTTAAGTTCAACGTCGACACTCTGTAGGTATTTGTACCCGTTTCATTATATTGTACCTATTGTATTACTTTGACCACATAGGGGTGAAGCAGAAAAATTCGTCAAATAAACAAAAGAATATATAGATCGCATTATATGAAAATAGTTCTTCAACTTCATATATTTCCTTGACACGGACCACTTGGAAAGCCTTCAGTCATACCTTTTTCATATAGGCAGCAATATTCGGTCCAGCACGTTAGATGAAGTATTCATAAGGTTACGTAAAGGTACGCATACTGACTCAACGGAGAACACTTTTTCATTATCTTTTCATGAAGAAATTATCAACATTATTGTCAACTGGACCTACTGCGTAGTTGCAGACAAATACAAAAACATTCTTGGGTACTTATACAGTAAGTAGTTGCTTAAACGTATTAAGCAAAGTAATAATTATAAATAATTTGTTGGGACCAAATCTACAATCCTTAAAGATATGTGAGTCGTTGTACCTTAATTTGAATTTCTTTTTGTATTTGATAGATACTCCGATTTACGATTCCTAGCATCGCGACGAGCAGCTGCAGCGGCTACAACCTCATTGCCACCGCCATTGAGAGGGGAAGCAAATGGAAATATTGCCGATAATATTTCTACCATCCGCAATACCCCTGGTCGGTGCTCACGGACCGGTAGGAATAAGTGCGATTAATCGTAAGTCACTCAGTGCTCAAGATACCTCCTTTGTGAGTCCCGGCACTCATGATGATGCAGTACCTTTCCATCGTCATGTGGCGCACACAGGTCTTAAGGTGGCGGGCGAACCACCGCAGCCATCCTCTGCTCAAGCACATGATTTTCATCCAGCTTATCGGATTCCAGCTGGCTATATTGAGCATATTTATTCACTTCAGCGTTTAAGTCCAAGTTCTTCCTTTCATGGTAAGTTCAACTAATACATATCTTTTATAGACAATCGCAAAGAAAATTTCACGGCAATATTTGCAGACCCTTATGCAAATTGTGGGCCTGCTATTCATTTAACCGGACTGGGACTTAATTCAGGCGATTACCTAGCAGCTCGTGGCGTTGGGTCGCTGGGTGAATTACATCCGGCTGCAACTACAGCGGCTGTTGCAGCTAGCTCGCTAGCTAGTACGGAGTTTCATTTTAGTATTGATAATGCACGTTTAAATAGTTCACGCCAAGGTACTATGCATACAAGCATTAGTCGAAAGAGGGCACTCTCATCGTCACCGTACTCCGACTCGTTTGACATAAATTCCATGATTCGTTTCTCGCCAAATTCATTAGCTAATATAATGAATGGTTCGCGAGCCAGCAGTGCAGCTAGTGGATCTTACGGCCATTAATCGGCAGGAACAATAAGTCCCATTCACGATTCGATGGCGCCTCACTTGCAGCAGTTGCAGGCCCATTTATTGCGAGCAAGTGCTGGTCTTTTCCACCCTCTCTCTACACATCAAACGGCCGCCGCTAACATGCTATCATTGGGCCATGTTCATTCATTGCAAACAGCAGTAGCAGCAGCTGCCTCGACAGCAGCGGTAACTGCAGCAGCTGTTAGTGCCGGTGGGGGACCACACGGAACAATATCTAACTGTAATATTCAAACAATCAATTGCCAACCAAACTCTGATTCTGATTGTAATATTAATAATTCGAATCGCATTACTAGTAATAGCAATATGACAGCAAACATTTCAAGTTCAACAAAGCAAATGGTAAGTTGTACTTTATTTTTGGTGACGAATAATAATAAAATTATGATTTTGGCAGGCCTATGACGACATGTGTGCAGAAAGAAAATCGGAACAGCCCTCATCCACTTCTAATCATATAACATCTGTGGAAGCGGACAGTGCTTCTGCTATGGTAGCGGCCAACAAACGATACCGCAACGCTAGAATTGCATCAACGAAAACTCATTTGACAACTGCAAATGTTCAACATTGTGCGATTAGTACTCCAACAACATATAATGATTATGAATGCTCCACAGTAGATACAACCGACATAAAGGACGAACCTGGAGATTTCATTGAAACCAATTGCCATTGGCAAGAATGCGATGTAGAATTTCAGACGCAAGATGAGTTAGTCAAACACATCAACAACGATCACATACAATGCAACAAAAAAACATTCATCTGTCGATGGGAAAATTGTTCACGTGGCGAAAAGCCGTTCAAAGCCCAGTATATGCTAGTAGTTCACATGCGCCGCCACACTGGTGAAAAGCCTCACAAATGCACCGTATGTTTACAACTCGTTTAATCCTTTAAGTAAAGTTTTCACGTACATGGTAAAGAATACATTAATTATTTCCATATATGACAATAATCTGTCTGTTTAAATCACGATATTTATACAACATAGACAAAAATGCCTTTCAAATTTGCAGAAAGTTGGTTGGAACACCCTTTGATACTTTGAAACTGTACAAGCTTTATTCTTTTGATGGTCAATTTTGTCTGAAAAACAAATAACAAAGCGAATGTATTTTAGAGCGGAATAAGGAATGCTCAAATCATATTTCGTTATCATATTTAGTACAGTTTACATCAAGTTCCTAGTTTGTGAGGATACTTTTTGTTGGGATTCGGCATGCATTCCTAAATTATAATTTATAGAGGATCAAACTTAAACCAGATCTACAGCTAGGTGTCTACAGTATGTGTCATGTCAAAATAAAAACAGCACAAGCCTCGTTCTGAATGTTTTGAAGATTAAAAAAAAAAAAAATAGCCTCATCTGTCGGCACTGGTTATCTTGAAGTTAATCTATTCCTCACTTAAACCACAATATTTTTGAGAAGGACATTGTTTGGGAAAATATGAAGTGTGGGAAAGATTTAATGTATTTCGAGCCGATTTAACCATGCCTGTAATGAAGTCACACTAACTTTTTTTGATAATGAAAATCTAAAACTTTTTGCAAATATTCTATATAAAGGACTTCTAAAATAGGAATATAAAGGACTGCTTAAGTATCCAATTAAGAGAGGTTTTAGGCCCTTTTAATAAGATTCCTTATTTTACGATGTTTATTCCAAATAAAATATTTAAATTTTTTAGCGAATAATTACGTAAATTACAGAGAAAGCTTAAGTCTATTTTTGGTAGTACTCAATCAAAAAAAAAAAAAAAAAAACATAATATTTTTCGACATTTGAATAAAACTTTATTTAAATAAATTAAATTAGAAAAAGAACAAGTGTTTTTTAGAATATACAAGCTTCAACGGCTAGCTAACATTACAAATTTTAACGTGTAAGACAATTATGTTCGCGGAGCCGGATCTGGCATACCCACCACTATGCCTTTCGCATTCTACTCTCTAAGCTCCTTCATTTGGTACCCATATCGCTAATACAATTGAGAAAAAAGTAATCGCGGCCATATTCATTTTAGTATTAACCCATCTTTAGGCAGATAATATATCTTCATTTCAAGAGTATGCAAAATAATTTTAAAGTGATGTAGTTTTAAGTGAAAAAAACAAAATTTAATCACTTATAATTTTGCGTTGGCATGGTTGATTGATTCCAGTTTTGGACATAAACAGTAGAGTGCTTTGTAAAGTAAATGCGAAAAATTTCACCTTTATAACTTTAATAATTTCCGCGTAACGAGCAAAAATCCAAACATATTTGTTAAAAAAAAAAATGATTTGCGTTTAGTTTACGCTCTACTACGCGCTCCTGCTCTGATCAATATGGCCCATTTTCAATACCGACTTGCGTGCAGAAACCTCCAACGGTTTTACCAAATTTTAAGTGGATATCTTCATTTTTGCGGTCAGGAAAGTGCCGAAAACAAACACCGCACGTAAAGACGGAGAGATGTGACCGAATCGATTCAGAATTTCAGGCTGATCAAGAATATTGAAACGAATTTTGCATGGATATTCTTTTTAAAAGAAATACACTTCAAAGTTCTCTTATTTACAACCATATATCTTTAGAGTAGGATTATTCACAATTTAGCTTTGGCAATACTTTCGACAGCTCCTTTTCTACTAACTTTGCCTTCCACAAATATTCTGTTTCTATTCACATTTTTACAAGCACATTACTATAACTAAATTCATGGCTTCACTTTTAATCCCTGTCTGCTTTTCCGGTAATCGTTTTCATCGGCTGGCAGCTGGATGACGGGCGCATTTGGTTTTTCCCTTTTTAGGGAATTTATTATTTGGGAAAATTAATTAGCTGCAATGAGCGGATTTGGGATTTCCGTAACATTGTATACATTTTATAGGGTCACTGAAACTTCCTTTTGAATGTTACATATATTAAGCTCATGTCGTTTCAAGAGGCTATGACGTTCACCAATGTTACGTTAGCCGCGAAGAGACAGTGCATTATAGTCCACAAATACGAGCAATAAAACTAATTTTTTTCCTTCTTTAGAAATTATATAGTTTAACTATGTTTGGTTAGCAGTCATGGTAGCGATATAAGTTTTTAACTTAGGTCATTAGCAATTATAAGTAAACTCGCATGAAGGTGGAAACACAGGAAAGTTGTATCCTTTATTTTTAAATAATTATCAGCTTCTAATTCCAATGTGAAAAATCGGACACATCCCTTCTTGTTGCATCACTTTTATTGTTCATTACACCTTTACTGCGTTTTTGTTGCTTTGCAGTTAACTTTCATAAGAATTGGAATTTAGTTTTTAATTTTTACATTAAGTCTTCAATATAAGATTTCCACAATCCGTTTGAACCCTCGATACATGTTTTTTGTATCAGTCGCTAAATTTATCTAATTAAATATCGAGTTTTTCGAATATATGTTTTACTTTTAATTGCAGTATTATTTTACACTAGCGTACTTTTTAATTAATTATTATCAGGTTCTAGTTTCATCTTGATAAGACGTTTTTTTTATAGGAATCCATTTTAATCATGATCGACAAACGCTTTAGTTATTTTATACGATGTTCTTACACTCACTGTTTATAAGTTTTATGCAGGTACAGCACGTACACGAGGTCAGGTTTATTTAATTTAATTTAATTATTATGTTTACTTTTCTGCTTTAGAAGCGCATATCCCTATCATACAACTGTTTTTAATACCATACGTGATGAAGGCATATTCTATCATTTAAAGGATTCATGTAGCTAATTTGGTTACTGTTGCCTTTTTTTTTTGTTTTTGCCTTGTCCACAAATTTTAGTGTTATATATATATATATATATATATATATATATCTGTATATTTCGTATTTTACAATTTCTTTGTATGTTTTTGATTTATTTCATTCTCTTAAATTTTTTATTTTGTTGGAGATTTTCTTAAAAAAAGGGAAGAAAAGTAGACTAATTTGCAGCCGATTTAACTAAATGCATTTATTTTATATCTTGTTTGGCCAACTGGAAAATGAAAGCAACACAAACTTTTATTGTCTATCTTTCTGAGCTCCTTGTTACAACCAATCAAACGCTTTTCTTCCTTTCAGGTTTTCATTTTCCGTTTATTCACAGACATACCATCAATTTCAGGCAAGACAATTTTTTTACTTTTTCATACGATCACTTAAGGTCGTCGCTAAATTTAATAATTTCGCTACAAAGCTGCACTTGTAACAAATGCTACGAAACAAAAATCAAATGGGATAGTTCCTGGAAAAACTATTGAAGTGGTACTACATTATATGTGCCAAATTTTTGGCCAAACCACGACCTATTGTAAGTGTTAATGTGGTGTCAACCACGCTAACTCAGAATTCAAAAAAGGTACTTGCTAGCTCGCTGTTTAAATGATTTGAAAGAACATACTGCCAACTAAAGAGGCTGCTAAATATACACGAAACTACTTCAAGCACGAAGCACAGAAATTGATTTACATGTACAACATATTGATATTTTTCTAATTTCGGAAACTCACCTCACTGATCGAACTTATTTCCAAATTGAAGGATATAATATTGTTTCATGCAACCATACTGATAAACAGTGGATCAGAAAATTTGGTTGAATCCTCATTAAATGGTATCATTCCGGATAACTATAGTAAGCCCCATGTTTAAGCTGTTGGAATTCAACTTAAGTGTGATAAGTCTGACCTGTCAATACACTGCATTTATTTTCCTCCAAGACATAAGAACAAGTGTAACGATTATGATGATTTCTTTTTTAAGGTAGAGACCAAATTTATCGTCAGACGAGACTTTAATGCTTAAAATCCGTCGTGGAGCTTAAGGCTCCAACATCTTAAAAGCAAAGAACTTTACAAGTGCTCACAAATTCTCGTACTTTTTACTGGAAGACCCTCATATTGCTCTTGTGATTGAAGACAATGACGGTAAATAGATTTGCGAAAATAAGATCTATAATTTGTTTCAATGACAACGCACAGCAAAAGGCTGTTGGTTACGCAAAACGTGACCGTCTTCATAACATAAGCTTTCTTGTGGAACACTTCAATAAATAGTTTGTGAATGTGGCACCATTTGATCAGAGGCACACTCCAGAGGAGCAAGTTTGTTTTACTAAGGTCGCACATTCCATGAAACAAGACTTACCCAACAAACCTTATAAATAGGGTTTAAAGCTCACGAAGCCTTCCCCGCTAAATGGTATACGGAATGATGGTGCAGGCCATGATGAAAAACGGTGCAGGTCTAAAAATAGATGCAAACTTTTAAGTTACAAAGGATTTTCACGGACTGAGTGCACCAAATGCAAGGTTGCTGTGCACCACAACAGAAATTGTAATATATGAAATCGAGAAATCGTTTATAAATGATATCAAAGTTCCTATACTAATAAACAATACAAATACCTAGCCATCTGTATACGTCCACAATAATTTTAGTAATAAACGTATATTGTTGCCAAAAGCCTACATACTGCTCTTTCTAAAATAAATATTTAATATTATTACCTGTATTATTCTGTGACTACATATAAAAAACAATTTTTTAAAATTGAAAACAAACAATCATGCGGCTAAGGGTTAAGCAAAAATGACTCGGCTTTTAGAGTCAATTTCGATCCTATTGAAATTAAAAATCTTATTAAAATCAAACGGAGATTAATAAAAGCTAGGAAACATAACAGAACTGCAACTAATAAAACTGAGCTAACAGAGCGTTTATTTAATTTTAAAAACGAGAAGGTAACCTTTATTTCTAAGAAACTTATTGCCAACAAAAAATAGCGATCATAAGCTCCGGAATGTTACAAAATATTTAAAAAGATCAGCAAAGAGAAATATATTGATAAAAGGTACAAGTGTAGCAAGTTGGAAATCAGATTTTAACAAAGTGCTCGCCTTTTTAAAACATTTAGAATCTGCCTT